TTGCATATTTGTAGTACACTGTTTTGTTCATATTACATATGTTTTGAAATAGCTGTAGATAAAACAATGACTAGTCCCCAAAGGGATTTAAGGTACCCAAAGGTGACTTTAATCAGTTTGTGTATCTGTGTAAAACTGTATAAAACTTTCTTAGATGAAGAACTTTACTAATTGGCTTTTCTATGTATGTGAATGTTCCTGTAAATCATCCTGAGACAACTTTGTTGTGATTTGGTGCTATATAAATTAACTGAATTGAACTGAATTGAATTAAAGTCCCCAAAGGGTCATAAGGTACCCAAAGGTGACTTTAACCAGTTTATGTATCTGTGTAAATCTTAAGTCCCCAAAGGGATATAAGGTACCCAAAGGTGACTTTAATCAGTTTGTGTATCTGTGTAAAACTCGAGTCCCCAAAGTGGACTTAAAAATTCCCTGGTCCCCAATGTGAAGGCAAAAAATAATTTTATCAAAAAAGGATTTAAACAAAATTTTCAGGTGACATTTGTTTTCTGTAAATTTAGAGTAAAAAAAATCACATAGCAGTTTGTCCCTAACCCATTCAGAAAGGGGTGTCCCCTAAGGTAGGTAGTTAAAATATGCGCCCCCAATTTGGACATAAGCAAACCATGGTGTGTGTGTGTGTGTGTGTGTGTGTGTGTGTGTGTAAACTGTGATCTCCAGCAGGAACAGTAACCAGGCGCTAACAGCGTTAGCACACTGAGCTAACTCGCCTCAGGCCAAAGATGAATAATGCAGCGTTCAGTCCACTGCCTCTGGTTGTGTGTGTGTGTGTGTGTGTGTGCGTGTGTGTGTAGGTGAAGTGCTGTAAGTACTGGCCCGATGACACGGAGATCTACGGCGACATGAAGGTGACGCTGATCGAGACTCAGCTGCTGTCAGAGTACGTGATCCGGACCTTCGCTGTGGAGAAGGTAACTGAGGAGGAGAATGAAGGTTAAAGGACAAACATCTTCTTCAGGACTTTAAATGCTTTGACAGATTCCTTCTGAATAAATATAAAAACAAACACCAATAATAACACATAGTTTTTAATTATTCCTGTTTATCCAACATTTTTCAGTCAGGTCATCTGGACAGTTTCTTTTTCTTTCTTTTTTTGTGCTGAAATGTTTCGCCTTCGATCCAGAAGGCTTCATCAGTCAAGGAAACACACAACAAAACTGATTCTTCCTCCAACAGCTTACTCCAAAGTGGAACAAACCAGTTCTGCTTGTGATAAGATGGTCTCTTTGGTACGCCCCCTCCTCCATTGCCGGCCCTCTTCCTTGTTGACAGTCTTGTCAAACTGGTTGAAAACAACAAAGTCCATGCTCAATAATCCAGGGATACAATCCAACATTTTTCAGTCAGGTCATCTGGATTTTATACCTGGATTATTGAACATGGACTTTGTTATTCCTGTTTATGTTTCTTTAAATTAAAGCATCATCAGGTGGGTCCACATGAAACCTGTTTGTTGTTGAAGGTTCTGCTCAGGTTCTGAGCAGTCCGACACTTGCTGTCAGTCAGTCATTGTTCTGCTCAAACCTGTTCAGGTCAGCTTCCTGTCTGACCAATCACCTGTCCTCCTCCTTCAGAGGGGCGTGGCTGAGATCAGAGAGATCCGACAGTTTCATTTCACTGGTTGGCCCGATCACGGCGTGCCGCTCCATGCCACCGGGCTGCTGGGCTTCATCCGCTGCGTCAAGACCAAGACTCCTCTCACCGCCGGCCCCACGGTGGTCCACTGCAGGTCTGAGCTGGTTCTGACTGGTTCTGACATCTGAGGCAGCACCTCTGTGACTCTTAACAAGTGTGTGTGTGTGTGTGTGTGTCAGTGCGGGGGCGGGGCGTACAGGTTGTTTCATCGTGATTGACATCATGCTGGACATGGCGGAGCGAGAAGGCGTGGTCGACATCTACAACTGTGTGAGAGAGCTGAGAGCCCGACGGGTCAACATGGTCCAGACCGAGGTACATGCACCTGACACACACACACGACCCACGTGAGATGAAATCCAAGCTGCTCCATCAAGATGTTTTGATCAGAACCTCTTCCATCCACTGAGTTGTTTTTTGGAGACCTTGTCCAGCTCTGACTGACAGGATGAGACAGTTGGACAAAGTCACCGTCTTCCTCTAACATTTACGTCCTCCTCCTCCGCCTTTTCCTGCTGTTGCTGCGTGTCGACATAAATCATTCATGACGTGACATTTCAGCTGCTCAGCTGCTGTCAATCAAACCACAGAGGGAGGAGGTGAAGAGCACCACCCGTCTCTAACCTGTCTCTGTCCACAGGAGCAGTATGTCTTCATCCACGATGCCATCTTGGAGGCGTGTCTCTGTGGCAACACAACCATTCCAGCCAATCAGCTGCGCTCAGTTTACTATGAGATGAACCGATTGGACCCTCAGACCAACTCGTGTCAGATCAAAGAGGAGTTCAGAGTAACGCACGCTTATGCTTTAATCAATTACATGTTTAAATGTTTACACATTTACACGTTTAAATGTTTACACATGTACATGTTTACACATTTACATGTTTAAATGTTTACACGTTTAAATGTTTACACATGTACATGTTTACACATTTACATGTTTACACGTTTACATGTTTACATGTTTACACATTTACATGTTTACATGTTTACAC